AAAAAATAACCTTTCAAGGAGAACAAGCAACAGAACAAATAGGACACAAAATGATCTTGGAATAGTGTGAACCCTTTGTTCTTGATTATAAAAGCATTGAATTAAACATTTTAAATGTCTCAAAGTAAAAACTAAAAAAGTATCACTGTGACTTTCATATGAACTTTCATCAGTACTGTTTCCCATTAACATTTAAAGCTATATCCAAAAGTAGAACTATAATGCATTCAAATATCACACTCTTTACACATTCAGTTGTGAAATGAAAAACCTTTTTCACATAAATTATATGTGGCTTCTAGACAAAATGTTTTACATACAAATCCTAGGTAGAAATAACATATAGAAGTAAAACCAGCCAAAAGCAACCTCTTATTCCCTAAATCGCCCAAGGAACTGGTTTGTCTGTCTTCCTTGGCATTTATCACATTTACAAAAACTCAACTAGGGAAAAGTGAAATTTTAGATAATTTTATTATCTGATGAGCTGTGAATCAAAAATATTTCTTGAATTTTACTGAAAATACTCTGGAAGAAAATTATATTAAAACACATCATATACGTCTCTGCACCTTCCAAAACAGTATACTGAACACAATCTAAGCAGTTTGGGGCTCTTCAGTACTAATAACACTGAAGTATGTTATAATAAAGTGATACAAATAGAAGTTGTTCAAATCTGTAAGGATACTAAATTTAGTGAATAAGGCCCAAATGATTGTTCTTTCTGAATTGTGCCTGCCTTTTACAATATTCTGGTCTCTTCCCTTAATATCAAAATACTGTAATCTATGACTCCCTAGCATGCCTAAGGAGCAAAGTTATTTATCCCTAACTTACTCCTAAACGTGTATGAAATTGGAAACAAGATTAAAAAGCTTTGCTAAAATATTAAAGCATGTGTTTAAAGATCTGTGTTTGGCTGCTCATGTATGTTTTACTTGTTGGGAGACAGTGACATCAGGGGAGCTCTTTCTTCACGGTTTTCAGCTAATATACAGAACAGGAAAAGAGCTTAATTTAGCCTCATGATAATTATCCACATATTTCATATTTCTTATAAGGCCAATGAACACCAAGGCAACGTTATTATTTGTATTTACAGAGTAACTGGAACAGAATCATTATTATTTGTACTTACAGAGCAACTGGAACAGAATCTGATCCTTGGAAGGATTTGAATACATCAAACTGAAATCGACTAAATGATTAATATTACTTTTATTCTCTCAAAGTCATCAACAACAAAAAGTTGCCCTGACATCTTTATCTTAGGTAAGGTTTCTTATCTTTTAAGCAAGGCTGAGGTCTAGGGACAGAGCCTCTCACAGAAATCTCAAGTGCTGTAAGAAGTGGTCAGGAGACCTCTCTTTGGAACAATTAAGCTCAAGGTTAAAATGTGCTGGCATTGCTGAAAGGTTCTTTTAAAGTAATGATCTTGTCCTCAAACAGTTTACTAAAGTTCTCAGGGTAAATTTCAAAACAGCAGGGTATTAACCTTAGTTCTTTGGTCTAATTCCAACTTTGGTAATTATATGCTGCCTATTAAAATTCCCCTTGCTGTTCTAATTTAATAAGATGGTGCTCAGTTCCTGTCAAATATCTCAGAGCAATGCTACCAGCTGCAATGCTTATCCCGTAGAGTGTAATGTTTCAGATGTGATTAAGTGATCATTTAAAATTTTTCAGGAAAGAAGTGGGTCATGTATTCATTAAAATACTTTTCCACTTATGAAGAATATGTAAAGTACATATTTAAGTGGCCAAAAATTACTATACCTAAAAATGTCACAGTAAATTTTAGTTTATGTTCTTGGTAAGAGAGTCCTATTTGTAGCTATTATAATTACAAACATGACAAGAAAATTTTTCAAGTATATCATCTTTAAGTTTTACAAAGCAGAGAAAATGCAGTAAAACCCTCAGACTCAGAGCAGAAGTTATCTAGACTCTCCTTCTCAAGATATTGATGGTAGAGTTACTGTGTTTCCCTATTTCTCCAGTCTGTGAATATCATAACTGGGCAGGACTACAGTAAAATATTAGGAAGATAAACAAGTAGCAAAATGAAACTAAACATGACTGTACAGCTACTAAATTTCAACCTTTATCTGGCACCATATTAAAAGGCATTCTGGGAACTGTGATTCTTTGCAGAGAGTATGTAAGGGTAGAGGAACTTGAAAACAGTAACAGAGAAATAGAATTACTTCTCAAGATTGTACAGACTATTGAAATGAGGTAATAAAACGTATTTTAAGGCTTAACGTATTTTAAGGCTTAAAGACGCAAATATAAGTGGAATCCTAGGTACAATCATTATCCTTGAAAACTTAATCTGTGATGAGAACCTTAAAAAACAAACAAAAACAAAACAGTGTTTCTGCATTTCACTGTGTCTTAAAGAATACTCCAAAATTAGTTCCATCATTTAAGCACACCCTAATTACAGGTTCCGTAAGTTTATATATTACTAAAAAGTCAAAAGAAAAAAAAATCTATTTACTATAAGTGTTTTTCTTATCTATATATTCTGTTTCTAGAAAAATCTGTCATTGTTCAGAATACTGACATATCACTTAAGGAAAGAAATTATAAATAAATATACTAAGAAAATACCCTATAACCCTTAAAAGTCCAGAATCGTTCTAGGCAAAGCAAACATTTGTAATATTAACAACAAAAAAAACTATTTAAAAACCAAGAGCCAAGAACACCCTTTTTCTTGAGGTTGGCAAACAGCATAAAGATTTCATCAACAGAAGACATTAGGCCTGGCTTTAAAAAGCAAACAAAAGAGGTCTTTAATTCTGATTAGTGTGTCTAGAAAGGAGAAGGCACAGTCAAATTAAATTATTTTCTTCAAAAAAGCAAAAATGTGGTAAAAAAATGCAACCACCTTACACTTTCAAAAAGACAAGACTATTAAATTGTTGCTTTTAGTAGTAACAGAGGTTCAAAATTCAATCCAAAAATCTTAGAGCTGAATATGTTTTGGAATTTAGATGTCCTCCCCTCCCCAGGATTTAGGAATATTACTTAACAACTGCCAGTCCAGTGGGCAATTGGGTCTAAGCCAACATCCAGAGATCAAACACATTCATATTTCTGTAGTAAATGTATGAAGACTTGAAAAAAACCCCTCATTTGAGTTTAGACCTAGGTCTGCCTTCATCGGGTTTTACTGCCAATTTCTGTTTTTAGAACTTTGTGGATTTTGGATAAAAGACTGTGGACCTAAATTGAAAATATAGAAATAAATCATGCAAAAGTTCTTAATTCACTTTACCCTTAGCTTAAAAAATAGTAGGTTACATACATATTGTCTGCGAACTCTTCAAGTTTACAAACTTCAAGATAGCAGTAGAAATTATATTTCAATTGTTTCTACAAATTACTCATATACTATATTATAGAAGTTTAATTCATATGTCCAAAGAAAATCAAAATTTTATTAATTTTATGATATGAAGTAAAATCTATAAAATGCATTCATATTCAAAAGGATAAATTTCTTCCTTTGTAGTACTTTTTAGTTATAAAATAAAAATTATTTCTATAAGTTAATAAAATCTGAAATTGCACTGTATTTGAGCATGGCAACGCTTACAACTAAAAGGATAAGTGAAAGTCTAGATTCTGGGGTAATGAAAAGTCAGCAGTTGGACAAAGACATTCTCCATTTCTCTGTTCTTTCTGCTATCCTACAGTTTGGGGAAAAAAGGAATCTATATAAGAGGAATCAAAATGCTTATTATAAGATAAGTTATATGTTCTCTTGAAAACAGTTAATTATAGTGGTAAAGAACACAGAGCCTGGAGATAGGCAGTAAGTAGATATTCAAATTCTAGCTCCACCTTTTACTAGCTTTCTGACCTTAGGAAGCTAGTAAATGCTCTTGTGCCTCAGTTTCTTCATCTGTGAATGGGGAAAATAATAGTACGTACCACATAAAGTTGTTAATGAAAATTAAATGTTAAATAAAAATAAGTAAAAAATGAAGTGTTAGGAAGAGCAACAGGAAAAATAGAGGAACAGGTAATATTAATAAATATTGGCAAGGTTAATGCAATATTACCAAAAATTTCTGTGATCTTAATTACTTTTTAAACCCAGACTGGCTTAACACAGAAATCTTTAAAAAATACAATAAATATTTACTTTGCATTTGACTAACTGAAAAACCATGAATTGAAATATTAGTATCTCTATCTTTTTATAATAATTAATAATCATTGCCTAAACTTACAATTTTTGTAAAGTCCTGAAAACATCTCAAAGAAAGTTGCTGTGAAAAATCTAACCAGTAGTTTACATATATGGTCAGCACTTGATTAATAAGATTACTTGATAAGTTGAAATATCTAATCCCATGACCATGGTCACAGAGCTCATCCATAAGCATCATGGTACTAGAAATACACCACTTTGCTCACTACACAATCTCACAAAGCACTGCACAGAAACTTACCTATCTTCATCTTTGTCATACAGTTGGTAATAATCTCCACAGCCATTCCAAAATGTGTTATCCACAACTTCTTGCCTTCCTGCTGTGGCTCCACCTTCTGGTGTTATCTGGTTATTGTCTGTTTCACTCTGTGTAACTCTTGCGAAAGGCAGATCCAAGAACATACAGTCATGTTCTCCATCATAGTCATCACATTTTATTAAGAGGTCATCTGAGCCATTTTCCTCAACTTCCAAAGCCTCTCTCCACCTCTGAACACTTCTCTGCTTAGCCTCATGCCTATTAAAACCTGTTTCTTGGTCCACCTGGCTTGAACTTATCACTTTCCTAACTTTGGGCCTTACTACCTGTTCAGGAGAACTTCCCTGATTTTTGTCCCTATCACTGGTATTTTGTTCACTGCAAATATGCCTAGGAGCACAGGCTGAATCTTCAGTTGAATTTTCTCCTTGTCTCTCCTGGCTAGTATTATTTTGTTGTTTCTTTCTAACATCTTCATCTTCAGAAGAGGACCTCTGAAATTCCTGATTGCTCTGACTGACAAACTCGGTATCACCAGTAGAAGTTTTCACTAAAGGTGCTGAATCTAACTCCTCAAACCGATCTCTTAATTCACAGTTAAAAGAGGGAACTGGTGGTGAAAGACCAGTATATGCTTCTACCTCTCCATTTTCTAACTCAAATATTGTATTGCCCAGTGCTTCCTGATATCTACTACCTTCCACAACTTCTGCAGAGAGCTGAAGACAGTCATTATCCTCTCCATGTCTGCCATCTGGATCGTAAGAGTCAGTATGAACCAGTGTAATTCCATTTTGGACACTTGAAGCATTACAAGCTCCTGGAGTATATTCTCCCTCAGAGTGACTGTGAAGATTTGTACTGCTTCCTAAGGTCTCCCTGCCTTCCTCGCTATGATGTACTGCAGCAAAGGATGGACTGCTCTCAATGGTTTGATTCAATGCTGTATCACCAATGGGAATTTCTGCTTCACTTTTTTCAAATAAAGGGCCATTGGGTAAAGAAGAATGAACTTGATCCAATGGATTGGAACCTTCACAGAGAACAAAACAAAACATATTTAGAGGTATTAATTTAGATAACACTTTGTTTAATAATGACTCCTTAAGTAGGAATCATACCAATTATTACCTATTTGAGAATGTGAGTCAGTTTCTCTGAGAGGTGCTTCTAGGCTCCCTAACTTCACTAGGAGGGCAGATTGATTACCCTATGAATTCATTTATACTATGGTAGGTCTTCTGCACGTTTTTCACCCCAATCCTACTACCTAAAACATTTTATAAAAGATATTTAAAAGAGAGGCTAATAAGAGACTACACAATGAGAGGCATTAGTGAAGTCACAGGGTAACCAATCTGCTCTCCCAGCTGCTGGAGTATGCAATTCAAACTTAAGTTCTTTTACTACATGCAGATTTTTTTAAAAGTGCTTATAATCAATATAAGAACAGGCAACCGATCTAACAGAGAAGAGACTCCATTGTATTTTATGTCAATTCAGAAAATTATATCTGTCTATAGATACATAATATTAGATTTCTACCCCCAAAATGAATTGCTGTAATATATCTATAATAATAAATTAACCTTAGCTATGTTATAGCTATGACTGAAAAATAACAAAAAAGTCAGTATGTTGATTCTCTTTGCCATGGTTTGTCAGAATTGTGATATAAGAGTAAAATCATATTTATTTCATAAATTACTTTAAACATGACTATCTTTTACCACCACCAATGTAATAATAAAAAATAGACATTCAGACTCGTTGGAACAAAAATTTATAAATTATAATAACTGAAAAGAAGTCTTGTCATGTCACAAAAAGTCTTCTTTAACAGAACGACCTTAGCTAATAATTCAGATTCTTGCACATAAATAACAGTAAAAAAAAATCCAGAATTATCAAATTTGCTCAGGACAAGAGGAAGATGACATTCTAGTCCAAAAATGTGTAGTTATAGTTTATGAATATCTGTAAAATTCTTTTGCAAACCAATGAATAATTAAGAAATTTTAATTGAATGGCTAAGCATTACTTGACATTTGTATTTTATAGAACGATTCTAAAAAAATCAAATTAATCCAGTTAAATTTATGTTTTACACATAAAACAACAAGAAACATTTAAATGTAATATGCAGGGAAAATATACTCAGTTCACATTAAAAAATGTTTTTTGATTGAAAGATGGAAGATATCCTCTGGCTGAAGGATATGACATGACAATATAACCACTGCCATAACAATGTAGTTATAATTTAGTGATTAGCCACATTGTACTTTCTTTCATGTTTCAATGTACATACTATTAACATCAAATTCAATAAAAATTTAAAAACAGAATTACTTGATAGAAAATATACAGCATTTATACTCATAGATACACATAAAACCAACTCACTATTTCAAGTATTATAAGATCAATTCTTACATGCTTATTAATAGCTTTTAAATAATTCTGTGCTGCATACCTGAGGAATTTTCTTTTGGAACATCATCTAGTTCCAACACTTCATAGTCATCACCAGCCCGACCTAAGCTTCTTTCATGCCTAGTCATACATGGTTTAAAACTGACATATGCATGTCTTCTGCCGTATCTCCTGCCTGTGATTGTCTGATATCCTCCTGCTGGTTTGGGCCAGACAGCCTTGCTGGATTCTTGATCCATTGCTGAGAAACAGAGTTAAAAATAAGAGGCACAGCAATGACCTTTATTCTGACATCTGGGGTAAAGTTTCAATATATATGTTACTATTCGCCAAATCATATGCTACTGAACATCAAGTGCACCTTACTTGCACCATAAAAATAAACATGAAATACTATGTTATGACTGTTACCTCTTTACCCCCTAAAACACCATTTAAAGTTTGGTTCCTATTAGCTAGTATATGTGAAATAGATAAATAAGTTTCTTTTGTATGGCACAGGGAACTATACTCAATATCTTGTAGTAATCTATAATGAAAAAGAATATGAAAATGGATATATGTTTGTATATGTATGACTGAGGCATTATGCTGTACACCAGAAATTGACAACATTGTAAACTGATTATATTTCAATTAAAAAAAAGAAAAGTTTGGTTCTTTCAAGGTATTTCAGATTCGTATACCTACCAAAATTTTTTTCCATGTGCCAAGTCACTAAACTGCAAAAGCTCCTCAAGGATTGGAGAATGATCCTCCAAATTACCTAAGTACCTTATGTACAAGTGCTCAATACATATTTGTTGAATGAATTCCTCGCACACGATATGATATAAAAGTGAATACATTCCTGTCACAGGTAACAAGTAATTTCTTTAAATGGTATCTGTACTATCATAAAAAATGAACTGGACCAAATAAAATATATCCCAAAGATTAGGGTCTGGTAAAATTCACCAAAAGAAAATACTGATGAGCCAAGTCAAACATATGCTTCAACACCTTTAAATACTACCAATGGTATACATATGGTAAGAAAAGCCACCAACATGTGTACAACTTGAATACTAAGTTCTGATGCCTGAGTGATATACAGTAGCAAACAGAAGTGTCTTTTACTAAGTAGAACATTATCTCACACACATAGTATAAATGTGCTTAGTCAGTTGGATTTTACATATATCGTACAGGCACTAAACAGAATACATTCTCACAGTATATAGAATAGTCAATAAATGAAACAGTTACTTAGTTTTTGCTTTACGGCATTAAAATAAGAAATATAATTGCCTCTAAGCACAAAGAAAACAAACATGTATTCATAACATATAATACCAAGTGTTGTATTATGTTACTTCATCCCCTAACAAACCTTATGAGGTAGATACTGTTATTTTGTTCTAAAGATCAAAAAATTAGGATTAAGATTAATTACTTAAGATCTTGTCCAGTAACCCAATGTTGACTCTAGAACGAGTACCCTTAGCAACACCTCCAAAAAGGAGCTTCCAAAGTGCAAAGCACAATAGATATCAAAGGAGTGTAGAAAGAAAATAAAAGAATTTTTTCTTAAACTCAATTTTTAATCAAAAATTAGAAATCAAGCTTTATACATATTCAATATATAGATCGAAACTGGCTCTAAGTAAGACCATGATCGTGTGTCACCTATGGTACTAAAGGACTCTGGAGGGAAATACAAAGTCCTCAATGTGGAGGAACTGACAGAGACTCCTTGCTTACCTGCTGGCTCTTTTTCAGTATACTGTGACATAAATGGCAGTGTCTGTGTGCCCAGTACAGTGGAATTATGGATGTGATTTAGTTTTTACCCACAAAATGGATAAGCTGCAGAAGATTCCTACAAAGAAATCATGGATTAAAAAAATGTATTAATAATACAAGCACAACACAAAAATGGCAAAACTAATACTTCTCCTAATTAAGCTCTTTTCTAGCCCATAATAATGACGAAAAATACAGTAGAATTGGACAAGACAGTCAAAAAAAACCTCAAAACTATCAAGACGGCTGCTTGAAAACAGATTTACATCTCCTCTTGAAAAACCCTGCCTTAAGTATATACCATCCTGAAGATTCAGGATAACAATACACATATAATTTATGAGGAAATGAGCAACTATATTGGGAGAAGTGTTGACTAGAGTATGTGACCAACTGGAAGTCTACTACATATTATGCTATCTTTGCTTCTCCATCAAGCACTATAGTTATTTTAGCCCTGGCATCATTAAAAGAAGTGAACCCTAAGAACATAAGCTTCATTTAAAAAATGTATAATGGTTCACTACAATTAATAATTAATGTGTTTTAAAGATGATATACTAATTCTTGATCATTCAGATATTTTAAACCCAACAACCTATTCTAAATTTTAAAAACTAAAATTTACCATGTAACATAAAAAGACTTTCACCTGTTTTGAAATTAATCCATTTATTTACTATTTTAAAAGCTGCAACCTGTGCTTTTTTTAAAGTTTGGCAAAAGCTTAGTTTTTTTATTTAAGCACCTTATTTAAACACGAGCTATTGCTAACTGTCTATCACCAACTCAAATGTGTTAGAAGATGACAGTTTTGCAAATAAGTTTAACTATATACGTTATCCATCTAGCCACGTCTAGCTATATATTAACACAAATAAAAGTACACAAACACATTCTCCCATATAAATTATAAATTCAGCAATAGGTTGTGATCCTCTAATATAGGTGAATCAGGTCAGATTGTTAGCAATAGCTAAAGGGTAAAAGAATATCAAAATTATAAAAAATTTGAAATTCTTATCATTTCTATAGTTGTCTATTTGCAGAGTCTGCTTGTCATGGCTTGGAAGTTTTCTTGTGTAGCAACC